TGTGTGTGTTTTGTGTGTTGTTGTGTGTGTGCGTGTGCTAGTGCTGTGAAAGAGAGAGGGGGAGAGAGAGAGGGATAGAGTGAGAACACAAATTAAACACCCATTGTAAAAAAAATTAAATTTAAAACACTCCAAATTAAACACAAACATTCAAAAACTGAAGCTGTCGTCGACATAAATGGAAGAACCACACTGCCTTTAAATAGACAAAGAATGCAGGGATACACAGAGTTCAAGGATCTGCATCTCCTCTACATATGTTTTTCCTTAATCTTTCATGATAATTCATGCACCATAATAAAGTAAAACCCACTGCAGAGAGAGTTTTTTCCATAATGCTCAATTGACAACATAGAAAATCATGTCCAAACTAATTCAACTAATACAACATTAGAACGAATGAAGTTAGCCTCAACTATAGTTATAGATTAACACAACTTTACAACCACTTTCTCATTTCTATTAGGAATATCATCGAACGGGTTTTGGGCATCATAGCATCCAAATATATATGAATGTAAAGATAAACTTAACTCTCTGAAAACACAAAAAAATGAAGAAAAAAATATATACCAAGTGAAGTACGAACACAAACTATTTGCACCAATCTAAAGCTAACAAAATTTTTTTTAAAAAAATCATAAACATCTTTATGCACATAAAACCATAGAGAAAAAATATGATGAAAAGTCATACCAGTTGACAAACTGTAGTTTTTTCTTTTCCCTTAGATTTGGCTTTCGTAGATGAATTTGACATTTTTTCCTCCTTTAATAAAAAAAAAAACAATGCATATAATGTAAGAAAAAATGTTGCAGTATGTTGTTAAGCTATTGTCGCTTCAACAGATCAAACTTTTCACCGAACTCACAATTATATAACAGTGTTGCCTTAATAGAACTGTTTACCCAATCATTTACCAGCTTCATAATTATAATAGTCATAAACATTTTTATACACATAAAATCATAGATCGTCATCCATAATAGCATTTTCAAATTTTGGCATTTAAGCATAATTGTAGTTATTTTCAATAGCATTCAATATCATATTTTCAGCATTTGCACAATAATATTATTGTAGTTAAATCATAAGCAGTCTACTTTCATAAGCAGTCATGTGACAACTAAGTAAGTCACATGAGTAGTTCAAATGCCACAAAGCCATTCAAAATTTAAAAACATAATGAGTACTTTAAATGCATAAGCCATAATTAACCAAGTATGAAAAATTAACTCATCATAAACAGCATAATTAAAAAATTATATTGTAAAAAGCCCAACATTTGTGTAACTCCTTAAACCACCAACAAAGTATATCCAAAAATGATTCCACTGTTCTCAAAGACAACCAAAAGTTGTCACAGCAACATCATTGTGCCACGAATTAACTTCTTTTAAGAACAAATAACTTTTGAATTATTAATTCAAAGGTAACGAATGATCATTAATGCAAAGATTCTAGACCCACAAATTTATATAGTATCTCAGTTGGTTACTAAATAATAGACAACAACTATTCAAAAATCAATGTGGGAAGATATGACACATGCAAATGGGAGACTAATTCAATTGTTAGATAATGAAAAATATAAGTAATTCCAGGGATGTGTAAATCACCCCAACATATTATATGAATGACCAACACTTTTCTTTTATTACTTTAATGGGCTAGGAAAAATGCATTTTGCAATATTGAAAACACAATACACTCTAGAACAAAGGCAATGGACTATATTCTAAACATTTTAATCAACCAAAAATCTTAATCCAAAAAAACATAATTGAACAGTCAAAAGCGTTCGAAATCTGTAGGTTCCAAAAGTGTTATCGGGATAACATCACTGAAAGTGAAATTAAAATCAAGACTTAAAAGTGAAAATTCTAATCGTACAGTACTTAATCAAGATATTTCATTGAATGTGCAAGATATTTCAATCTTGCTTAATCAATAAAAAAACAAAGGAAAAGAATGCAGGAAGAATATGAATTATAAAAAATCCAAGAAACACAAAATACAGAACAGACTGCACCGAGTTTGCTTTTCACCACCCCCACCATAAAGAAAGTGAATTTTAATTAATTTTATCAGAGAGTGGAATGAAAGAAAAAGGAGATTACAAAGAACTTTTGGTTCCAAACAAAAATTAATTTAAGCAAAACAACGCCCTAACATAGCTAGCCAGTAAATAACGACACCATGAAATATTAAAACAAAAAACCAACCAATTATGCACCTGGTACCACACAACACAAACATGAATATAAGATACTCTTACATATTTCTGATAATAAAAGTGTTAACTTAGTTTTAAAGGAATAATTTCTTCCACGTGCCAAGAACAAAGGCTAAATTTGGGGAAGGCATTTTCAAGTCTGCGTGTTGCTGTGAAGACCAGATGGAGAAGAGGGAGAATAAAATAAATAAAAGACACAATCATATCCAAACCATTAAAACACCATTGTCTCTTTCTCACAGTCTGCCAAGATATGTTCTACCCAAAGCATGTTCCAATGGAAAAGAAAAATCTACATTTGTAACTCGAATCTACATAAGGAAAGAATCTACATTTGTAACTCGAAGATCACAAAATTCTGTACACACAAAATTATGTACACTTAAAAAAAACATATCAAACCAACACAATACAATAAAGTAAACATTTTTGCAATTGATCGAGTAAATAAGCAAACATTTTTAATGGAATTACGCAGTTGAAATACATCAATTCAGGGAAAAAAAAAAAAAACTATTCAGGAAAAAAAACTGAACAGATGAAAAAAAAACTGAATAGATGTTGAGTAAAAGCAAGCTCTGGTCGACCCAAACAGTAGGGGTTAACAATGACTATCTCAAATAAAGTTGTTTATTAAACTTTTAATAATGTTGCTTGCATTAACTCTTGGGTTAGAAAGAAATGAAATGTCTTAAGTCTCATAAGATCAAACATCTTCCGAGACATTTCATGCAAAAGAAATTGATCATGAATCTCGAATGAAAAATTGTTCATCAAAACTATGAACCAGGACTATATTTTAGTCACTTCCCAGCCCAGAGGAATACATAACTCGGCCATTTAGGAAAGACCTCGAGGAGATGACTAATTAAAAATATTTAAATCTACATTTGCTGTAAATTTGCAACTCGAATTTGCAACTCGAGTTGAGATTAAATTCAAATTTGCAGTTGAGATTATCAGTAGATTTGCAACTCGAATCTACATAAGGAAAGAATCTACATTTGTAACTCGAAGATCACAAAATTCTGTACACACAAAATTATGTACACTTAAAAAAAACATATCAAACCAACACAATACAATAAAGTAAACATTTTTGCAATTGATCGAGTAAATAAGCAAACATTTTTAATGGAATTACGCAGTTGAAATACATCAATTCAGGAAAAAAAAAAAAAACTATTCAGGAAAAAAAACTGAACAGATGAAAAAAAAACTGAATAGATGTTGAGTAAAAGCAAGCTCTAGTCGACCCAAACAGTAGGGGTTAACAATGACTATCTCAAATAAAGTTGTTTATTAAACTTTTAATAATGTTGCTTGCATTAACTCTTGGGTTAGAAAGAAATGAAATGTCTTAAGTCTCATAAGATCAAACAGGAGTGTGCAAGCAGGAGTGCATATAATCTGAATTCAACCCTTCAACTACCAAACCCAAGTTCAATCCAAACCCAATATTCAATCCGAACTTTTCAAGCCGAATGTTAATAGGTAAATTGTACTAATAGTTCTTGAAATTTACTACTTATATATTTTGAACCTTAAAGTTCGAATTTCGTCAATTTAGGCCTCCGAATTCATACTCTAGACCTGGTCCCTCGCACTAACTGATTTGGACAGAAAAATTTCACGTGCAACGCATGTAACTACAATTAAGGGAAATTGGGTCATTCTTGGCCACTCAAATCCAAACACTATTATTTGTACAGTGAACAACTAAAATCTCAACCCAAACAATTCTTCCTCTGTTTTTTATTCTTCATTTTCCTTTCTCTCCTTCTCCCTCTCCCGCGACACACAACAGACGCTCACAACTCCCAACAAACCATTCACTCTTTCTATACAAACACTCAGAACCTCTCTATCTCTCTCAATCACATACGAACTCACACACAAAAATACTCCTACTACAATTCTGTTTCTTTAAGCACACACACACCACACTCTGGAAAATACCCATTCAAACAAATTTAGTGTGAACCATTCACCTAATTCAACCAACCACAGTCAAAAATTCAAAACTCGCAATTCAAATTAATTCAAAATAAAATTGAAAACAACATCGAAATTGAAAACAAAATTGAAAATTGACATCAAAAATTATATCAACAATCAAAATTATATTAAAATCAAAATAAAATCTGACTTATTGGGGGTTGGGGTTGTTTGTTCAGCAGTGGGTTTTGGGTAAACACAAAATTGGAGTTGGAGTGTTGGAGACTTCTTGGTGGAGGTGGAAGTTGGAGTCAGGTCATGGTGCCCTCGCCATCAATGACCGAAAACAGAGAATAAGAGGGAGAAATCTATGAAAACCAAAGGAAGGGAGTGGGTGGGGTTGGATAGATGGAGGCCTGATGGTGGTGAGGGGGTTGGGCCGAAAAACAGAGAAGGGGATTGGGCTGGTGCGCATCTCGAATGAAACAGAGAAGGGGATTGGACTCATGCAAAAGAAATTGATCATGAATCTCGAATGAAAAATTGTTCATCAAAACTATGAACCAGGACTATATTTTAGTCACTTCCCAGCCCAGAGGAATACATAACTCGGCCATCGAGGGTTTTCTTTGCAAGATTGAGGGCACCAATCACCTGTGAACAAACTTACGATTAGAGTTGGTTTACTGGTGTTTGGTGTCATCATCTTGCACTGTGAATCTATGCCAGTGAAGAAATTAGTATCAAGAAAATTTGTCAAGAGAACAAAGGTGTGATTTTGGAACTCTAACTTCCTTTACTGGTTTCTAATTCCCGAATAATATACCTGGGCTGAGATTGGTGAGCCGCTGTGTGCCGCTGTGTTGAACGCCGTTGGTGTCGCTGCTGTGTTGATCGCCATCGCCACTGTGTGCCGCTGCTGAGCCATGGCAGAGGAGTGAGAGGGGTGTGGGTAGAGGGGTAAGGGGTCTGGGTTGCTGTGTGCTGCCGTTGTGTTGAGCCATGAGGCATGGCAGAGGAAATGGGTGTGTAGGGAATGGGTTGGGATCAACAGAGAGTAGCTGTAGGGGTGGGTTGGTGTGTAGGGGAATGGGTTTGATTTGAGGCAGAGAGTATTTGAGGCAGAGAGTAACTGTAGGGAATGGGTTTGATTGGTGGGTTTGATGTGAGCCTTTGGATTAAGTTAAAAGAATTGAGATGAAATTTAGATCATTGGATTAAAATTAGAATGAATCTGAGCCGTCCTTGTGCTTTTCCAAATGAATTTAAATAAAATTAAATTTTTAAGTGAATAAAGATTCAAAATTGGTTCTATTTTATTATTATAGACTAGTAATTGCCCGTGCCTGAAGGCACGGCGTAACGAAAAATTAGATTAAAACTCTAATTTACCATAACGTTATCATAATTTACCATACCACTACAATAATTAATACATATTCAATCATCAACACATATCCAACCACCAAAACATCAAGTTAATCCCTACTAATTTCAAGAAATTTATGCAGAATTTCTTTTAAAAATAGATATACAGAAAAATATAAACCTGTCTACAAAACTTACAATCATCACTACATACCCAAACCACCAAAACAACCATCATTCCATACCCAAAATCATCATAATTATGTATAATTAGTTAACTTTACAAAAGACGGAACACAAAAAATACACACATACACAAAATAAAGAAACAACTTCATATTCTTTACAACTTATACCAAGTATCCTTCAATGTATACCTGAAAATATTTGAAATATAAAAATTATCGAAATAAGTGAGTCAAAATAAAACAATTGTAAATCCGAAACATAAGACCCCTTACTTTTTTCGTTAGTTGGATTCAATAAAATTAATTACATTACCCTGAAATGATTTAGATTGATATAAGTAAGAATTTAGAGAGTTTGTAACAAATTATCAATTTATTTAGGAAAATATATGGAGGAATGTAGAGACTTACAATCAAATAAGATTTTCTTAGTATCATTTCAACAGACGGTTCATTTGCTTAATGATTTCAATCATAAATCTGTATTAGTGACAATATAATGGTGTGTGAGTTTGATTTGCGAGTGTTTGATTGGTTACAGTTATGTGTTTGTGTTTGTGCATGTATTGTGTGTTGTGTGTCTACATGAGAAATAGAGAAATATAGAGTCTTAGTAAGAGAGATTTTCATACCTAAACAATTGTTTGGTCAGTGATGAGTTAGTCATCGTCAAAGGTGGACAGGTCGGTAATGGATTGCATATCATTTAACTCTCTTAAATGTCTTATTCATCCCTTTAAACCTTCTCTTCATCACTATCCTTAATGTCCTCGTATCAATACGAACGCACTTTGCCCAATGAGGAGAATGCACAACCACCTAAATTATTCACATAAACAATAAAAGTAACACAATATTTATATTGTAGGAATAGTAAAGTTATTTTAATACAGTGACATAAAGTAGATTTATCTGATTACGTCGGCCCCATCCACAAAGCTCCATTGTATATACACTATCGTTCTCGTTGACAAATTCACTCCAATCCTATAAAGAATGAATCTCATTGTAAAACTAAAAGTTGAAATGATGAAAAGATTACATAATTCAGTAGAAATAAATTTGTTTAAACTATACCATTTACTTGTCGTAAGAATCTTATAACAAAACTTCTGGGTAAACAATATTTGTAGTGCAATTCGACCCATCTTCTGGAAGGAGGACTGTAATACGATCTGAAGATGTGCATCTAGATAGTGCCACATAAAGGTGTCCATGACTAAAAACAGGTGTCCGCAAATCAATCCCAACGAACTTGACAGATTGTCCTTGGGCTTTATTGATTGTCATAGCATAAGTTAATCGGACAGGAAACTGACGTCTTGTCATTCGAAAAGGCAAGTCCAAAGATGTTGGTGTCATTGATATTCTCGGAATGAAGACTAAATTGCCAATTTTATCTCCATTTAATATCTGAGCTTCGATTACCCTTGAGGCACATCTAACAACCATCAATCGCGTGCCATTACAAAGTCCATCCTTTGGTGCAATATTTCGTAACAACATTATTGGGCATCCAACTTTCAACTCCAATTTAAACGGTGGCAACCCTGAAGGATTCAGCGAGTTTAAGTACTCATTAGGATATCGATTCCTAATGGTACGGTCAAGCTCATCACCTTCAGACATTTTATCTGCAGCTAAAAAAGTAATTGTCTCTCCCGGAGTAATATTCAGTGCTGCAGCATTTATATCACTGACGTCGTCATTACGCGCAGAGAGAATTGTGCGTTCAGTGAAAAAGGTTGGAGTCACTATACCAATCACATCCAATTGTGGATAGATTTTAAATATCAATTCATTTAGATTGTGACACCGGTTTATTGTAGATGGAAGTTGCACAATTTCACGTGGATTGGTCCCAATCTAAAAAATGAGAGTATAATTAGTCACAAAGTGAGATTTAATTCAAAGCATCATGTTAAAAAATTCAACAATTCAAGGTGGAATGAAATATTACCTCCATCAAGAATTTAGCAAAATTAGTATTTCGAACGTCAGTGCGAGTTAATCGCATGTTTAAACCTAGAGTCAAAACACATATATCTTTCCATAGCAAAGACCGTCTCAATGATGCACCCACAATTTGCTCACGAACGCCTTTAGGAATAACAGGCAATATTTGTCGAAAATCTCCACCCAGGACAACAGTGATACCCCCAAAAGGTCTTTTATCGTCTCTGATATCTTGAAGGGTGCGATCGACTGCCTCAACACAGTATCGATGCTGCATAGGAACTTCATCCCATATTATCAGCTTTGTTTTTCTAAACAATTCGGCATGCATTGATTGTTTAGTGAACCCACATATTGAATTGTCTAGGGTTTCCAAAGGAATACAAAATGTAGAATGTGCAGTGCGCCCCCCTACCAATAACAACGATGCAATACCAGATGAAGCCACAGTAACAACAACATGTCCATAACTACGCAATTTGGTTGCAATGGTATTGTACAAAAACGTTTTTCCCGTCCCAGCACCTCCACTCAAAAAAAAAGTAGTTGCTATGTTTTCACATACTGACGTTGTGACGGCAGTATAAGCAGCAAGTTGTGCATCATTAAGACCGTCAACATTAATTTGTGCATCAGACTGTTGTGCTTCATTCTGAAGTTGTTGATGCTCAAACAATAATCTATTTCTAACTGTTGCATTCCAATTTTCAATTGGTTGTGGCATGGGTGGAAAGTCAACTAAACTCTTCCCCGACTCATGGAGCAATTGATTAATCAAATATAAGCCATAATCTTCAATATGATCATTAGTTGGATTCAAAATACCAAACATAGTACGAATCTTGTGTGCTAAATCATCACATATATGTGCTGAGAATTGCTTCCACAATGCAAATGGATGCAATGGAAAGCATTCCGTTAGAATTATGGCAAATAATCTTCTTAATTGGTACCCCGTTCTCATAATTGCAGCCTCTTGAAGACATTGTATCCATTCTTCATCATCTTCAAGAAGTCCTCTTGCAACACATGCTGACTTGAATGTATCATGCATAACATTATTTACCGTGCGTAGCCAGTCAAATGAAGTAGGTCCTCTGACAACAGTTAGAAGCAAACGTAAATAAAACCGCTCACCTGAATTAGGGCTAGCAAAGTACATTCTACCAATTGCATAACCCCTTTGTCTTGGAGTCCATTTATTGATAGACTTGTTCCAAACAAATTTTTGTGGAAATTCCTGATAAGTTAATACACGTGCAGATTCATTTGCAGCGCAACAATCAAAAAAACCAGTTAGAGTTGTTTCTTGATGTGCACCTTTAGAAAGGATCGTATCAAAAGATTCAGCAGGGTTAAAGACCACACGATGCATCCCAGGCAAATGAAGTGCCAATCTTACAACCGACGGAATCTCTTCATGTAAAGGATTACCAAATAATCGCCACGCAGCTTCTGGAGGTCCAATATACCTAGCATCAAGATATTGTTGGATCTCATTAATTCCTCCAAGTACCATTGTTGCGCGATCATGTCCTTTATAAATATACTTGTGAATGTATTTTACACATCTGATTCCTGCACAAACTTCAACATTGATATGACAGTTGAACATTCTTGATAAGTACGGATTATGTGGCACAACATCTCTATTATCAATTTCTTGTCCCCTCACGATGTACTTCTGACCAGTATTACGACGACGATAGACAGGATATCCATCAGAGTCCATACTTGTTGATTCAACAAATGACCGAGGGTACCGCTTGGTACATACCCCATTTTCCATACATGATGCTTGTGGATTTCGAGCACCACATGGTCCGTGTACCATGCAACCTATGATTGTTTCAAAAAGCAATGGGTCAGTTTGACAATCCGGAAATTCAGCACACACTACTCTGTCCACTTGAGCACATGTTTGGATTTTATCAGAACCATGAAGGAACAAAAGTGCATGCATGTGCGGTAACCCCCTTTTTTGGAATTCAATTGTAAAAACATGTGCCACTTTTCTACCAAAGACGTTATTTGTTTCTATCTCCTTCATCAAAAAATTTCTCTTCAACTCAAAAACACGGGCCACTAAATCAGGACGGTCAGTAGGGATCTGATTTGGCAATAGGGAATTAGTAATTTCAGGCCATTTGGGATTTGCAGTCATAGTTAAAAAAATATCAGGGTGTTGATTATACCGCGTGATAGCCATTGAATCTTGAAAAATTTCAAACATATGTCTTGCACTACCAGTGAATGAAGATGGCAAAACCATTCGTTGACCAACTTGTTCAGGACCAAGCTCATCTGCACAAACATCTGTAAGACCTTGGTAAAGTTCTGCACGAAGCTTCGATTGATTCAATTTGTAGTATGTCAACCGATTTTGTTCAGTAGCGGCCCAAGCATCTACCACAAATTCTTGAAATAATTTTCCAGCTCTCAAAATCGTTGAATACTCAATGTCACGTTGGAACATACGATAACTGTAATAT